TGTAGTTTCTTAATATTTATAACTTATTGTGATACCTTTATATTGCTTCACATATCAGAAATCCTCAATGGTCAGTGTAGTATTGTTTTCACATCCCCTGAATCCATCATGATGGAACCTTGGAGGGGGATGTTAAGAAATGTTCACTATAAGGAGAGGCTTATCTTGTTGGTCTGTGATGAAGCCCACTGCATTGTTGAATGGTAAGTATGTGATTAATGAATTATAATTTGTTTTTCAAATGTGTAAAAATCAATTACATCGACCTTTCAAAAATCATCAGGTATTGAACAAATCTGCACATTTCTGAACTGATTTCTGTCTCCAGCAAACCCAGTTGATATGTTAGTTTCTCAACTTGTATGGTAGATGTACACATGTTCAAAGAACTTGCATTTGTATCTGTTGCCATATGTTATTGGAGAATTGCCCATATTCTTGATATTATTGCCTAGCTTTATTTACTTTATGCAGATGAAATATTGCTAAAAGTTGAAAATTAACATACATCAATACATCTTAACTAAAATAGCCAGAAATAAACTGTTGATTTATATTTATGTGGAAATGACATGTTTTGTCTTTTATATAATCATGCAGGGGTGATGATTTTAGGCCTGAATACAAAAAAAATAATGTACTCAGAAGTTTGGTAACCTGCCCTTGGTTAATTCTGACTGCCACTGCTACAGAAGCCATGATGAATATAATGTTATTACACCTTTTGTTTGAAGAAAATGATATTACTACTGTTGCTACTGTACCTGACAGGTAAGGAATACAACTAGACTAACAAATATGGAATAATACATAATCAGGTAATTTTATTTCTGTAAACAATATCATCCATCCAATGGTTTCTTTACAATTTTATTTTTCAGGCCAAACATAGTTTTGCATTATAAAAACAATGGCAAAATGAAATATGAAGAGGAACTTGACTGGTATCTTAATGATCTCTCCAAGAATGGTGTAAATGCTAAAAAGGTTATCATCTATTGTAGGTTAGTATAGTGCCATAAAATGGAAACTCATAATGATACTGTGACATTTTCTCGATAGCATCTAATATATTTTTTTCACTCATTTCTAAATTTGTATTTTGTATTCATTGTTAATATTGGCCCAAATTTAATCAAGGGAGATATTTTAACTTAATTACATGTTCATTTGCATATGCACAATTATCAAGTAATTTGGAATTTGAGTGATGCTGGTGACACATATGCAACTTAATATGAAACGCCAGTATAAAAAATTGGTTGATGTCAGGAATGTCTGGCTGTTAATATTACACTTTCCCCACATATTTACAAAATTACTTTATACATTTAGTAACAATTGGTAGTTGTGACTGATAAATAACTATTGTTCAGTTGTGCCCCTTTCATTTCAGATCTCTTAGTCAGGTTTCTGATATCCATGAACATCTTGTCTAAGAGCTAGGTGAGAAATCTTTCACTGGGACCATCGATTATGTAGAAAACAGGTTGATACATATGTATCATAGTTCCCTTGATGAAAAGACAGAAAAAGTTGTCATTAACAAGTTTACAGAAAAAGATAGTATAGCTAGGTGTTTGGTTACTACAATTGCATTTGGAATGGGTATTCAGTTAACAGATGTAGATGTTGTAATTCACTGGGGCATGAGTAAGTCAATCCTTGCCTACTGGCAGGAAGTTGGCAGGTGTGCCAGGGATGGAAGAGAAGGTGCTGCCTATTTATATGCCACAAAGAGGTCCCTTGATAAACGTAAAGTTTCTAAAGAAGCGATAGATTTTTGTGCTGAGATGAATGACTTGGACAATTGCATGCGTATTCATATACTAAAACATTTAGTAGTTCCTGGCATGGATATAGACAGACTAGAAGAGCTAGAAACTAGGGAACCATGTCATAGGAAAATGAAAGATGAAAAATGTAGTTGCATGTTTTCCAGATGCTGTAGTAATTGTGCAATCAAATGCACAAATGAGTCTGGGTAGTGTAATCACCATTGTAATCTTGTGTAAAAATCATATTTTAGTGGAATTACTTGTAATTAAAAACTGCAGCATTACATCCCACTATTCATACAACCAAATTAATGATTGTAATGGTTATAGTAGTCCATCCCTTTAATGATCATGTACTGTTAACAAAATAGTTAATCTGAATTGAGATATCATTTTACCTTTCAATAGCCAGTGCTAGTTTAGTCTTGTTGCTGTAAGAAATCAAAGAAAACTTTTAGCTTTTATTAGTCCCCGTTCGGACGCAGTCCGAAAACGGGGACTAATGTTTTGCCCTGTGTGCGTCCGTCCGTCCGTGCGTCCGTGATCACCTGTATCTCGAACATGCATGGACCGATTAAGTTCAAACTTCACTCATACATCACACATTATATGGGACATATGCACATGCATTTTTTTCATGATCCGATTAACGATAGCCGAATAGCGGCCATTTTAAGGCCGAAAATGCATTGAAATCGCACATTTTCACCATTCCGGACCCGTATCTCAGTTATGCATGGATGGATTTTGTTCAAATTTGGTACATACATTAAACATAATAGGACCTTGATGCACGTCTTTTTTTTTTTCGGATCAAGTTCGAAATGGCCGACTGGCGGCCATTTTGTTAAAGAATTCAGTTCTGGATCCGTATCCAAGACATGTCTGGATTGATCAAGTTCAAACTTCACACACACATGGTACATCATGTCACAAATAGATATGTGCATTTGTTTCATGATCTGCTTAACAATAGCGGAATGATGGCCATTTTAAGGCCGAAAATGCATCAAAATCACGTATTTTCACAATTCCAGAACCGGATCTCAGTCATGCATGGATGGATTTTGTTCAGATTTAGCACAATGTGTTGTACATATGCAGGTGCATTTCGGTCATGATCTGCTTTGAATGTATATGTCACTCAAATATGAACGGAACGGGGACGTGTCATTGACAATGACTTGTTTTGTTCTGTACATTGGGCTTAAATTTTTTTGTAGTATTTAAGTAAATTTCATATAGTAAACATTTCCTACTTTCTGGAAAAATATAGATTATGCAATCCATAATATGCTCATATGTTTTGTGGCCATGAGGCACAAGTTAATCTTGATATATAAGCAATCATATTTTCATAAATGTGGTGTTTATTCACTGATATGTATTCAGTCATGTATGTCAATGTCAATTTCTACAGTCTAGTAGTAGCAGCTAGCCTTAATATTCCCAAAAAAAAACATTTTACAGAACTGTACCAGAGCTGTTTACAACAGCACAACTAGAGTAAGAAACTTACCCATTGTTCATACCCAGCATTTAGTGAAATAATATTTCTAAGTGTACAGAGTGTCACTATATATTTTAGATTTTGAGACTTAATTTTTTAACAAAAATTGTAGACCTGATGGCAAATCACAGTATGTAAGACAACTGA